GTTCATTTCTGGCGTTTCTGAGCACGATTTTCAGATAAAACGACCGTCAATCAGGTTTCCAGGGGTGATAAAACTTCCACTTGGTGGTGGAAGGTCGGCGACAAAAATGTCTTTTCACGTGACGCTTGGTGCCAAAAGGTCTTTTGATCGACAGTTTTGGTGACGGCCATGACAAATCTTTACAGCGGGCATTCCACACACAAAGGGTTTAATAGTAATACATTTCATCCCCAACACCATCAAGCATTTACGTAAATACCTTTTACCGTACTCTACGCCCAACGGTATCTTTCTTGGGCTCCATCCCATCCCTGCGACAAAAATATCCTGTGATTTTTAGTTGGTCGCTGACATTTCGGTGACAGGTCGCCGACAAATCGATGTGTTTCTTATTGCCCGGCCGGTCGGCCAACTCGCTGTTTTTACCAGCCGACTCTCAGTGCACCAAACTAGACAGTAGAAAATGCTGAAAAAATGTCTAGATATGGCGATTTATTTGGCCGCATTGGTATGTTTTAATCGTTGCGACGCAACCGAGATATGTGAGGTTGGCAGTGACTTGTAATGCACTGAGGCCTTGCAAGCGGCATTCGCATTGCAGTTTCATGAATACATTGCTTGGTTTAATTACTGGGCCTTGTTGACTTCGTTGATTGAAGTTTCGGGAAGTCGGTGGAATAATCCAACCAAGGCAGAAATTGACCTGTGATTATTCAGATTGACTTTTAATGCACAGAAAAGCAACACAAAGGGCTGTTGACCCACAGAAGTAGTCGCAAGCTCCAAACTTTCTTCCTTTTGAAGAGAAACATGGGTTCGGTGCTGGGGACTGATGGCACTCCTCAGGAAAGGGAATGACAGGAGGTGAGAATGGTTCTGAGGTGCCAATATTTATGTTCCTGATGGAGATGGTTACCAGTCAAATTGATCTTCAAATCAGGGTTTGTACCTAGCCCTTTTTCAGATCAGGCCTCTAGCCCCCCCCCCCCCCCCCCGTTTGTGAAGAAGTGGGTGGGGACTTTCTTTCAGGGACGGTCTTTCCACTTTAAAGTGTACTTATAGTTATGAGTGAGCTTGTTTCATCTCATCTGGTGCTTGTTTCAGTATCTTCAAATGCCGCACATTCCTTTTAACATCAAAACGCCTTTCAGTGGCCAAGGACGGACCATAGGCATATACAAATTTGTGAAGCCATTGGTTCAGAGTTGAATGAATATATCCAGAGGTGCATTTAGTGTCAATGGCTTATTGGAACGGATGGTTCCGCCGTTGAGTCTTAGTTTGAGCGCGACATCGACGGATTTTAATGAAGTCATTTCTTTGAATGGAGCGTCCTACGCGTGACGCTGAATCATAAATGAATTGGCGCCGGTTGGGTATAGGCTCCCTGTGGTACGGTAATGCCGCCAGCCATCAAACGCCTTAGGTGATTTGTGCTAGCCATGTTACACTGTATTTATCACGTGATCATGTGTTAAACGTTGGGTTGAACGCTGGGCTTGTCTTGCAAACAAGATAAAAATGGTTTTGTTGTGCTTTCTAGCGGCAAGATTCGAAAGAAATTTGGTTCTTGTGTCATCTAGCCACAGGGCTGAATGATATGAACATTGGACGTTACGAATTTGGACATTGCGAGTTTCGATGCCTTGGACTCCGCCAATGGGTACGAAATTGCACGCATTTTGGATGTTATGTATGCGGAATGCTGTGATTTTAGATGACATGAATATTGAATGCTACGACCATGGAGGTTTTGATGGCTCCCCTACTGGATTAGTCAGTTGCTGCGTAGTGTTATTGTTATTGACGTAAGCTTCTGAATGTGAAATGGTTCATTTTGCACCGTCCAAAGGTTTTACACTGCGGCATGTACGTCCTATACTTTTTAAAGTTTTCATATGCTTGCTCAAAGACGTCACCAATAGTGAGGCCTGTATTTGTCAAACGTCGTTGTTCAATGATTGCCAATACCGCGAATGGCTTTCGATTTTCAACATATGCGCCAACATATTTGACGAACACTTAAGATGTGCTGACTATTAAAAAGCAAACCCAGTGTAGCGGACAGAGATGAAGTGTAATTGTGCCGTTGTTGAGCTTGTGCGATCGGTGCAATGACAGACATCGGTGCTGAACTAAGCCATACATTGTATTAGCAGTGTGATGCCTCCGTGTTTCATTCATGTGAAACGAGGCTAAAGATTCAGCCACGCGCGTCGGCTTCGGTACTGCCAGGCCGGGACGTGCAGCGGCACATCGCATACAACATCAGCTCCGGCCAACGCGCGATACCCTGCGTGGGTCACGCGTGCAGCTGCTAATATCACGATGCGAACGATCGAACGACGCCAAACAGCAGACCGTCCTCCCGCCCAGTTGGAGTCGCGGAGGCGCCGTACCAAGCGCGGTCCCCGCGCGCCGGAGCGAGGTACGCGCGAAGCCCCACTGCGTTTTTCACATGACAGACCTGCGGCCAGTGCAGAAAAAAACCTGGTGGGCCTGGCGCGAGGGCCCACAGGATTCGATGTTGCAAACGCAGTCCTGGGCTGCGTGGGCCCAGTGGTGAATCCAGAGGAAAGCCGCGGGACCATAGCCCCCCTTAGCCACGAAGTGGTCCACATGGGCTCCGAAGGGCCCCATAGCCAGCCCGAACGGACGCACTTTTTGCAAACTAACTTTTTGCATCACAAAGCGTGACAAAATTTAACACCTTTGGACCTCCGGGCGACCAAGGCCAGTCGTAAATGAGAGTTACAGATCCACAAGCAGACAAAAATAATTCTTTACTGATTGAGGTAATGGTAATTGGGGACATCGTAGGGTTTATTAAGTTGTCCAGAGTCCCTTTACTATTGCCGGGGGCACTACATGCCCACTTGCAGGATCAAACCAATCGCTAAGATGCCTTCCATATTGCCATTGATTTGCTTACATTCGCTCGGGAGCCCTACGCTGTTGTTGGGGCCCCAGCAGCTAGCATGCTGGGGCACTCTTATCGATCAGAGGTCCTCAACCGTTTGTTCCCTTCGCCCAAAATGATATACATGCTATAACCGTGGACCCATGTGTTAACCTGCCAGAGTACTTTGGTTTCTGAGGGGTCCCTCACACTGGTCTCGGTTAACCTTCCGACGCATTCGCAATATGCTAGATATGCTGGATATAATGGGCCCCCTTCATTGGTCGAAGGGCCTTCTGATTTCCTGTCACTTACGGAGGGCCCGACGCTCGTGTCAGGGGTCTCCAATTGTTCACCTACTCAGGACTACTCAGTCGTTCGGGAGTCATCCACACTGGGTCTTGGGTACTCGCTTTTTCAATGGAGAGCGGCACACTCTTATCGGGGGGCCCAACTGTCAACCTGCTCTGGCACTCTTGATCGCACCGGGCGGGCTCGATCGCCGTGGTTAGTGTAAACAATTCGGTCCTCATTTTTAATCCCATTTCGAATCATACGATGTCGAATAGCCCGCATTCGACAACACTCTCAGTTCTTGGCGAACTGAAATAATAAATGATCAGAGTTAAGTAGGCCAATAATGTTTATTGACACGGAAAATGATAAAGTTTGCACCGATCCCGATCATGCGTTGTTTTCGGTCACCGATTCCTGATGCATCATCAACGCATCTCAAAAGATTTTCCCTCCCCCTCTTTCTACCGGTCCAATCATAACATCCTGGGTCACCAGACCGTCCCGTACTTCTGATCGATATGTTTACCCTCGCCTTGGTCCTCTCCCACAGATCGATCTGCTCATGGAGCGCCCACCCACCGCCCCGGAAGCGATAACGGAGTCGTTCGATCCGGTTCGCGCCGAGCTGCACGAAGTGCTCGCCAGTCTGGCGCACTGAGAGCACTCTCCTTAGCACGTGCGACGTGATAGATGACCGTACGGAGCAGATCCTGCAGGCGCTCTCGCTCGGATGCGCTGCAGCGACCGCCGCCCTGGCAGGCTGCCCGACTCAGTCCAGTGGTCCCCATTTCCCGTCCCACGACTGTGATGACGGCGGTTAACCGTGTGTTGTTTAGCCAGTAATTTGTAATAAACCGTTTTCAGGGTTTCTATTTTGTGGTGAGGTGAGGAGCTGGGTGGTGACCGCGAGTCACTGAACTGACATGAGCCCTGTAACACTTGTGCCGCGTCAATGCAGTCGGTATTGCGTCTGCAAAGACCCCTGCGAGCCCCGATGCATGTCCTCTTGTTCGTCGTCATAGATCTCCTGAATGGCGACCGGAGGAACGGGCAGCGGCCATTTAACGGGCGACATCGGGAACGGGGTGGAGCTGGTGGGACACGCCAAGGCTTGCGATGGGATCATCTCCGGGGGGAAGTACCATCATTGCGCTACTGGTCCGACCCGCAGCCCTCCGCGCCACACGCCGTCTTGCTGTAATGCAACGCAACACCACCCCTGTCAAGCAGCCCAATCATTTCTGGCGCTCCCGTGGTAATGCTAACAGTAGGCGCAATTGATGGAGCATGATACACTTTATGAAATCTGGTTCGTGCCACTTCAGCTTTCCAGTATTATATCGTCCAATGCTATTTTGTATTGTTTTAGCGGCATTTTGAGCAGTGAAGAACTTTGTAAAGATTTCTTCAATTCTCGTATCACTTCTGAGTCCACGGAGCCGCCTTGGGCGATGGACTTCCAGAGCTCAGGTTGCAGCTGGGAAAGGGGCGGTGCACTGGCAATCACTCGGAAACTGGTTCGCACACCTGGATGTGCGTGAACACACATCCGTTTTCCCGAGATCGCCTCATCTCAGCACTGTTTCATCCCGGTTGCCTCTTTGTCTGCGTCCTCAGAACTGGTTCTAACAAAATCTTTAGCAATTTCGAACGTCACAAGCATTGCATCCGGCACCCAGCGGCCCACATCGCATCGAAGCCTTGACTTCAATGGCGTCATGCTAATGTTAAGCAAGGATGACGCGAGAACCACCGGACGGCTTTACCGTCTTTATGCGACCTTGATTGCATCCCAAAGTTTGTGACCAGTGGTTGACGGTGCCGTGGGAGTCGTGGCTGGTTCTGCGTATTTGTCCGGGATCTGAGATATTTGTCGTCTATTCGTAAGTCGATAGGTCGACATTCGTCCATGCTGAAATCACCGGCCCCTGCCCCGACGAAAGAAGTTTGTTGTCCCATGCGAGACAGGATCGGACCTGCCTTAAATATATCGTCCACTGGTCTCACTTTTTGCGGCCAGATATGCAGGAGACGTACAGAGTGTCAAACTCAGGCTAGATTGAGTTGCACCGAATTCTTGAATGACTTTGGAATGTACAAGATCCTTTTTGCAGTATTGCTGCCTGAAATTACCTTTGCAACATGATATCTTTTGAATTGGCTCTGTATAACCGGACTGCAAACAATGCAGCTCATGGTAAACATGTATGGTTCTGGAGCAACACCTTGGCAACAGAAAGGTTTTGGTGCAGTCACCGCCGATCTCAGTCCATATAGAGCCAATGCCTCAAGCAATTGTGGTGTTGCTCAGGTAGTTCAACAGGAAATGCCAGCCATAATGTTTCCAAATAAAAACTTTTTGAACATTCAGTACAATTTAGTGTGGCCAAGTTCGGTGTAAGCATACTCTGAGGTCCATGAACACATGCAAATTCAGGAAATCAAACAAAAAACATCCAATTTTTAGCCACAGTGGACAGATGTTTGCAGACTAGCCTCTGATGAAATTGGAAGGGACTGCAAACCAACTTGAGATTTGAATGCTCAGATTGATGGCATACATATGTTTATATTTTTCCTGGAAATGTTGTGTTTTGCCTGGCATGTGAAATGTTGGCACAATGTTTTTCAGTCTTGTTGGTAATGAACCATAATGGAGTTGGGTGCCAAAAGGACTTGAAAGAAGGGTTCCATACCTGCAAGCAGTCAGTTCAATTTTCATGTTCTTTTAAGCCTACTCCTTTATGACAAACAGCACCAGAAATGAATTATATATCAGGATCATAGAAAATACAACACAGTTTTAGTTGGAAAAGATAAATATTTTATATTATTTTATCAAAATGTTTCTCTTAACACATCAAGCCATCTGGTGCTATTAAGTGAACCATTGATTCATCTGGTGCTAATTAGTGCACCTGTGATGGACTGATGGAAATGTTTAACTGACTGCTATAGCATAGTTTGCTAAAACAGTTTTTTCTATTATGTGTGCTTTTGTTTCCAGGTATCTCACTCTACTATGTGCATTGCATGTGAAATTGTACAGTTTGTTTGTGTTCTGTGCTGTTGATATTTTCTCACCTTTTGTTTTGGTAGTTGCAAGTAGCATATAATTATTCAGTGAGATTCAGTTATGCAGTTTTTTCATTTATTCCTGCCAGGGTGACAGGCAGGGATGTCATGTAGCCTCAGTAGCTGAGTATGTTGTGATGCCCCAATCATTCACACATACACACACTGAACAATTTCATCACTTCCTTAGGTAAGCAAGGAAGTTATTTGCCTCCATATGTTGTGGGTTTGCCAGCACCATATTTTCATTCAGCAATAAATGAGAAGTACTAATGAAGTGCTTACATGCTGACTGCTAGCATGCTCACCAAGCACATTTGTAAAAGAGATGTGTTGTTAAAAAGCATTGCTAGCTCATGCTATTTATGGAAAGTAAGTTCATGGTCATCAGTTCAAGAAAGTAAGTTCAAGATATTGCCCTATCATATAAAGTGGCATATATTAAAGCAAGTCATAGACATAACAGTATGATCACATATGGGAAAGGTTTTGGGTTGGATAGAATGTTGTTGTCAAACCTTCCCAAACATTGCTGTATTTTGCAGTGGAGACTGCCCATTGTTGAGATTACATATGCTGCTCCAAAGAAAGCACAACAATATTTATAAATGATATCTGCAGTGTGTCAAAGAAAGATATTCAGCACTGTCGATCCCATGCCTTTATCTTGCAGCTCTTCACTCAGAACTCCGAACACATAATGACCTCGTCATGACCTGGCAGTCAGTCTGCCTTGCATCCAAAGTTATCATCCCAGCACATAGCTGGAAAGTGCAAGGAATGCTCGCATAACAATCCGCCACGCTCGTGCGCAGACGTCTGGATCTTCCCAATGTCGGCCCACGCCATCGTCGCGGCGGTGCTGCTGGCTGCGCTGCTGGCCGGGGAGGCGGCGGCCGACACCATCTCACCGGGCGGCGGCAGCCTGCAGCTGCCTTCGGACGTTGCCGCCGCCGGTGCCATGCCCGACGACGTGCGGGACAGCCTGGAGCGGGCCCGCGACGGCTTCTACAGCCAGTGCCGGGCGCAGGGCATCGCCGACCCGGAGCACTTCGTGACCGAGCGGCGCGACCGCGCTGCGCAATGCGTCAAGGACAACGTCGACGTCGACGAAATCGTCCAGGACATTTCGCGGCACATGGAGAACGGCGAGCTGGACGTGCTGTTCTCGAGCCGCTGCCGCGACCTGCCGCCACGCATCTTGGACTGCATTGAGCGGCCGCTCGTCGAGCTGGAGCGCTGCCTGAACGAGACGGAGCGCGCCAAGAACTACTCCGCCACGCTGATGGCCGGCCTGCGCGAGGCGGTCGACTTCCTCTGCTTCAACGACGGCGAGCGGATTGCCATCTTCCTGGGGGAGAAGGGTCAGGAGTGTATGTCGTCGCAACAGGTGCGCGACAGCTTGACTCAGTGTCTGGAGAAACACAATCTGACGGCGTCGACGGCGCCGGACGTGCTGGACAGCACGACGCGCGGCTTCACACCCGCTTTTTGCCACCGCATGTTCGTGGCGCACGACTGCGCCGCCGACGCCCTCCGGCTTTGCGACGATCCGACGCCGTCCAACGTGGTCGACAGCCTGCTGCGGGCCTTCGAGGGGCCGCTGCCGTGTCGGCGAAGCACGTCCGCTGCCGGGCCGCCGGCGCGCGCCGCCGGCTTCGCGCCGCTGCTGCTGCTCTGCGGCGGCGCGCTCCTGCTCAGCCGGCGGAGGTAGTGCGCTGCGGCGTTACCCGCGCGAACGCGGCGCGCCGCCGTCCAGCGCGCTGCCACCGCCGGCGGGGAGCGGCCGGGACCCGGCTGCTGCAGCGGGCCCCGCCCCGTACGCCCCAGGTCTCTGGTGTCGTGATGGCTTGCGCGAGAGGCTTCGCTTCCGTCGGGGGCGAAACGCGTGTGCTATGCTTCCGCTTAGCGCTGGGCGCCGGGCACGCTCAGCTAGTCAGCTGCGACACGACGGTCAGTGCGAGGCCACAGTGAAGCATCGCGATGCATTGCGATTGGGATGGATGACCAGGGCGTCGGCAGAAGGGCAGCGTGTGGGCGCCCGTCAGCTGCGATTAAGGGCGGACGGGTCTGGGCTGGAGAAGGCCCGCTTGTTTTGTGTCCGGCGTCGGTGGCGGACTGGGAAGTGCGTGCGGTTGGTGACATGTCTTTCGCTGACGTAGTTGTTAGGTAATGCGTGATCGTGCCCAATGATGGGGCCTTCGTGAAGGTGACTGTCAAGTAAGCAGTGCGTGGCTCTCCTGTGCGCCTGGGCCTGCGGATGTTAAGCCTCTCGGGCCGAGCCGATGTCGTTCGTTCCTTTCTTTGCTCAGAATGTCCTTGGGACAGGTAGATGCACCTAAAGGATCTAAGCGACGAGAAAACACATCGTTAGTGTTTGCCGACTTTCGGATCTTGACCTGCTTACCACTTACCCGCTGTGGGTCGATATGTTGTACCTTATTGTCTAGACTAGAGCGGGCATTCGGATGGCGCAATACCTGTGACTGGAGTTCGTCGTGTTCCCGTAACATTTAAAACGTCGAATCCTATTTCTTTTGCCTGTTTTAAACCCAGAGGTCACAGGTGGTAGTTCTTTGAACAGAGGACGGCTTTATTGTGCCCACTGAGGAATGTTCGTGTGCTTGTACGAATCCGTTCATTGTTTTGTGCGAGTGCGTACGATGCCGATTAAGTTAGAGCTTATAGTGCACGCCCACTCGCTGAACCATTCCCTCATTCTGACGTTTTCGTCGCAAGATGCCGTTAAAATAACATGTGTCGACTTCCATTACGTAGGTTCGCCTCTACAACGTTATTATGTCAATGTCGCTACAGGAAGAACGGCGCTACGGGGCTCATTAAATGATGGTTGTACTTAGTCGCGCCTTGTTTGTATTTTCTGGTCAACTTTGTTAATTATTTTCCAAGAAACAGTGTGATCATGTCTCGTGCCCAACGCACCTCATCAGCTTGAGTCAGCATTTCCCGCCGTGCACATCCCATGCCGGTTAAGTAATTTGCGCTGCTCTCAACCATGTGTATTTCCTCTCTGGCGTAGAGTGTGAACGTAGCCAAGGGGTCAGTCAGGCAATGGCCAGTGCCTTCCTGGAGGCGTATGCTGGTATACGTTACAGCAATATTGATTGGGCCGAACCACTCGCTTGCCGCGGCTTTGTAAGGATATATATATATATCCGGTCCGAGCGGCTCGGTGTTTCACAGCCATGCGCAGTGGATGTGGCGATCAAAGCTGTCATTGTACTTCATGCAATTTTGTTTATGCTTCGTAATGTAACCTAAGACGTAAGACGTATCAAAGGCGCCGTGTGTAGTGCTCTTGGCGCTGTCCGTCGTCATAGTCACTTTCGTGTACTATTGAGCATTTACCGTGAAGGCTATTAGCTTATACAGAAGAAGCATTATGTTTGAAGATAGGCGCATCGGCGCTGTGTCGACTATATAGACAATACATACTGGTCACCGACACAAATGATGGTCTCAACTGCCGGTGGAGCCTGTGCGACAGAGGGCCGCTGCAATGCGCGGTAATGCCGGCATCTGTCTGCTGCGCCGGGGCTCCCTCCGGCCAGGGCCAAGCACCACGCGCGGCTGAGTCACCGCTGGCGCCGGACGTCCCGCCCCTCGAAGGCTCGGGGCGCCGCACGCTCGGCCCAGATGTCGGGATGTGGTGCGCTCTAATCACTACGACAGCCCCGACGCTTTGAGGCCGAGTGGGGCAGGCTCCCGGAGGAGTCCGCTTCGAGGGTTTTGGGGAGGGGTGACAATTTCTGATTTAAATTTTGACTAGCGATGCGAGGAGTGACCTAAAGAGACTTTTTACTGCTGTCGTAGGCCGGTATCCCCAAATCGTTTTTCAAAAGCGCGTTCTCCGGTGGGAGATAAGAGTGCGGTCAAGCAAGATGATGGACGATCCAGTCTTCTCCGTGAGAGTATACATATATATATATATATATATATATATATATATATATATGCATATGTATATAATTTGAGGGCCCGTCTGCTAAGTGCCTTTTGCATAGGCCAAGAATGAGCTCGTCTTAAAAATTTCAATGAGAACCTACACATGATTAAACGCTACAATGCTTCACAGTTGAAATGCTTCACAGAATGGTGAGCAAATCTGGCATCCGCCAACTGTCCTTTTCTTCGGGTCTTTGTTTACAAATGCAAATGAAGGCTTAGTCCAGATCGATCGACCTGGTGTGCCCCAACGCTAATTCCGCCAGGACATGGGCCACCATTTTGCCATTTTGCCGCACCCGCGGTCTGAGAGGGAGATACCGGACTCCTTATTCGGCGGCACTGGACACGAGTCCCAGTGCGAGCGCGTTGCTTGACCGAGCCGGCATGACATGCCAGCAGGCCCCTGGCCGGTAGCAGTCATCCGAAGTCCGGAGCGGCTCTGTCGCAGCGTTGTCTGGCAAGTGAAACCCTTGCGAGTCCTTCCCAGCGAAGGGTGGAGACAGTCGTCCATGGAACTGGACAGCACAGCTGGTGTGTGAGTTCAGGGTATACGCAACAAGCTTCGCTTAACAGGGGCTTGAAACCGAAGCCACGCGTGCAAACCACACAAAACCAGTTATTCAAACAGCATTGAAATCTGTTTCATTTTGTGTTTCTAGTTTCTCCCTTTGCGGGCCTCATGAGCGCGGGTAAGCGAAATTCGGAAGCAGTTGTTGCACATGCTACTGATTCCCATGTTCTTGACTTTGCTGGCTGCAATTTCTTATAATTATTTTTTGTGGATATTGCCTTCAGAAGGGCGTCAGCAGGAGCCAGTAGCGTAAGCAGAGGGGGGGGGGGGGCACAGGGGCACATGCCGACTCCTCATAGATTCCGAAGGGCCCATCGGGCCCCTCGGGACCTACGATTAAGGGTCCGAAGGGACGAAATGCCGGCCAGAGGTCGTATTCAGGGGCCCTGGCCCGCAGGGCCAGGCACTCCAATCCCAGAGGGCCCTACGCGCTGATCAGGGACCCCTGAGTCGATAACGGCCTTTATGTTGGTCAGGCACCACCAGTAACGCACATTCGGTTCCGTGGTAGCATGGGCCTGAGGGCCCATTCGACAGTCAAGGGCTCCAATGAAGGGTCTAAGGGAACGAGGGGCTGGTCGTAGTTTTATTCAGGGTCCCAGACTTCAGGGACAGACCCTCAAATGACAGTCAGATGGCCATCTGCGCCGATTAGGGATACCCTGAGTTGATGTGGGGCAACATATCGGTCAGGCACCATCAGCGCCGCACAGTCCGCTCCGTATCAGTGTGGGACTGAGGACCCATTTCCAATCAGCTGCAAAGCTGGGGCCAGTGGTTTACGCTGGTCGGGGCCCCTGTATCTGCCAGGTGCCTGCAGCGCCTAACAGAGGATCCTTTGCTCACAAGGGGCCCCGAGCCGACCAAGAGTACTAATCGATGAGGCCCGGAGAGGAGCCCGGACCCAACGGAACCGACTACCAAAGGCTCTGGGAGGGCCTAAGGGCCGAAAGCTATGTGTCACATCAGTAATCGCGGCTCGTAGGTTGGTGACCTGAAATGTCAGTCAGAGGTCCCCCTGCGCGGCTTCCTGTCAGTCTGCACCTGGGGACCCATTTCCCAAGCAGGAGCAAACCCGGGGGCCACGATTTGCATTGATCTGGGTCCCTGAAACAGTGGTTGGGGCCCCTGTGTCGGTCAGGGGCCCGCAGTACTTAACAGGGTTCATGTTTCGGCTCGTGTCCCTGGTCGATCACGGGCTTTGTTTGAGGACGCCCGAAGAGGGGCCGGAGGACCCCTCGGGACCGAAGATCAAGGGCCCAATTGGACTCCGGCCCAGCCCTATCCCGCCTGTAGTGTCGTAACCTGAAATCTCAGTGAGAGAGTCTCTTTTATGGTCCCCTTATTAGGGCTATTTATCACTCTTATACAAAGCCTCGACACGGAGCAACAGTCGGCTCCATGTCCGTCTGAGCCTTTGAGGCCCATTGTAGTAAGAGTGCCTCTTGCACTGATTAAGGACCCCCGAGACAGAGCATTCTTCTGCTTCGGCCAGAGGTCACCAATCACTAACAGTCAGAACAAAGCGCAGACCGTGTCGGTCTGAGCCCAGGGGGCCCATTTCCCGAACAGGGACACGGCCAGGCCCGCGATTTATATTGGTCGGGACCCCTGCAACAATGCGGGGCTTCTGTATCGTGCAGGGACCCATAGTGTCTAACAAGCTGACCTGTGTCAACAAGGGGCCTCGAGCCGTTCAGGGAAGGGTTTGATGAACAGGGACGCGGACGAGACCCCGAATTACAGAGGACCTCTTACGTTGTCGGGGCCCACTGTCAATGAATGGAAACAAGAAAATTATGATGATTGCTCGTGTTGAAACAATGGAATTATCCTATACTAATCAGGGCCCAGTACCGGCCGTTGCAGGCTCCATCCCAATTCCAGCACGGACCCTTTAAGCCGAACTGGAGTCCACGCGCCAATTATTGGCCAATCCGCGGCGATCAGAATTGTTGTTGCGTCAATAGGGGTTCCTGCGTCGATCTAGTATCAACTGCGTTCTGTGCGGGTCAGGAGGTCTTCCGCGTCAGGGAGGGAACCAATGTGATACGATGTATACCTCTAAGAGCCTCCGGATCGGCCAGGGGACCCCGCCCCGTGTCACAATAATGACAATCGCAAAACATCCTGTGGTGGGGCTGAATGGCCCTGCAACGCTTGACCGGGTACAGCAATGTGCATCCGCTGGTATTTTGTCAAGCGGGCTTCTTTCCGGAAAAGAAATAAGGGGCCTGATTAGTACTGAATAGAGTGGGTAGCAATAACTTAAAAAAACGAACCAGACCAGACCATGTTTACCTGAC